GGGGTGGACGAGGGGGGGCAGCAAAGCAGCCACACTAGCTGCTGCTGCAGAGCCCCTGCCAACAGGAAGTCGGTCTGCCAGTTCGTTCTCAGGTTAGAGCGTCCCCAGGCAGAACCCAACGAGCCAGAGCGGCCTCCCGTCGCTGCAGACCTCCGGACCCGCGCCGCGGGTTTGGGCTTCAGGCGTCGTGCGGAGGGCCGGCCCAGTTCAGGGGCCGCAGGTCCTGCAGGCCCGGCAGGTCCGCGTCGGGGCGGCCGCCCTGCAGGATGAGCTGGAGGAGCAGGGGGAAGGTGGTCAGGGCCTCCAGCACGGAGGGGTCCTCCTCCCCCTGGGGGGCCGCGGGGGGCGGGCGCAGGGCGGTCTCGGCCGGGGAGGTGTTGGCGTAGGGGTGCGGGGGTGGCTCCGCGGGGGGCCCCGGCCAGCCGGCGGACGGGGAGCCCCTGTACGTGTGGTTCATGACCATGGAGTAGTCCACGTAGCCCGGCTCGGCCTGCGGGCACGGCGCCGGGGCCTCGGGCAGCAGGGCCAGCTCCTCGGAGACGCCCGGGTCACCCCGCAGGGCCAGGACAGCCGCTGGCCGCCTGTCGCCCTCGCCCTGCAGCACGCAGAGGCCCTGGGGCTGACAGCAAGAGTCCCTGAAGTCCTGGTGGAGCGCAAGAGAGAGAGAGGGGGGTCACTGCTCCAGCCCTCAGTGTCCCTCCAAGCCCCAGAACCGCAGACACAGCAGCAGCCTGGCCCTAACCTAGATCAACAGCTCAGAGCAGCTCTCCAGCCCACTCAGCCCCCCTCTTACCTTCAGGAGCTTTTTTGGGGTCCAGGAGGCCAGACTGCTATTTGCAGGGTCAGGGACAACTGGCCAGAGCTGCTTCTTTATCCTGCTGGAGACACACAGAGCATCAGGCCAGGCTTGAAGATGCAGGAACCCCCAGATCACGGGCTCTGATCTGCTGCGCTCTGCTCTCTCCAAGCAAAGGTGATGCTGGGTTTGTGATGTCCCCATCACTACTGGGCAGACATGACTAATGGACGGATCTGAACGAATCTTAAATATTAATTAGCCATTGCCACATCACAACATCTAGGGGACAGAACCATCTTACGCCTGCCCATTCCACGTGTGTGGAGTCAGCAGCCACACACAGCTGTTTTGTGCTTCATCAGTAAGGCGTGGCTGACTGGTCAGTGAAAAAGTGGTATATACTGCGTGTGAAGGAATATACACATAGACTGCTTGTGTCTCACAAGCAGCATCTCCGAGGCTGCACTGTGAGGAAGTAGCCCTGGGGAGACAGACACGGGCGGACGAAGGCGGGTGCTGCTGGTTTCGGGGCGCGGTCTGGCTCTGTACTCACCTGTGGCGGAGGTGCAGGCAGGCCAGGAGCCCGAAGACACCGAGGAGGAGCAGAGCTACGCAGTACAGGCTGGTCGTCACCACAGGGCTCATCCCGTCCTCTGACACAGACAGACAGCGACAGGGAGTCAGAGCTGCGCTCTGTCCAGAGACCCCCCCTGCACTGCCCACCCCACTACTCTGATTGCTTTCTCAGGGAGCCAGACCTGCAGTGTTCGCCCACCCGACTTCATCCTCGTTTAATCGACAACGACAGGGCGCCTCCTGCTGCCGCCCGGACCCTGCTGGTAAGACGGCCCCTACCTCAGCCGAAGAGCAGGGCTGGCGGCACTCACCGCTCGACCCCGGCATCCTCACCCATCGCCACGGTGACCGCCTCCCCCGCCGCGCTCCCGGCGTCCGTGCTGGCCGTGACGTGGATGCGGTAGGTGCC